CATTAGGTCCAGTCATGTCCGACTCTGAGGGTTGGTGCTCCATTTCTAAACCGAAGAACAAACTTTGTCCAAAGACACCTCCAAGGTCATGTGGCCGGCATAACTGCATGGAGTGCTATTATCTTCCTGCTGGAGCGGTACCTATTGATTTACTCACATTTGCATGTTTTCGAACTTCTAGGTTAGCGGAAGCTGGTGCTAACAGCGGGAGCTCACGCCACTCCCCGGATTCAAATCTGCGACCTTTCGGTCAGCAAGTTCAGCAACTCAGTGCTTTAACCCACTGCTCCACTGGGAGCTCCCATTACACCATTAAACTAAGATGTAATTTCTGGAGGGTTGACAGAGATGGATGATGTGAAGCCTTGCCAAGGTTGCTGAACTTGAGTTCCCAGCATTCTTCACCACCAAGGGTGCTGATGAGAACTGTAGTTTAACAACACCTTGAGGATACAAGAATCCAACAATATGAAACTCTGTTAGAAGATCATCCCAAGCACAAGAGATACCAGAGCCCAGTGTGTCTAGTTCTCAGGTCAATACACCTGGCAGCCTTTTTGCATAATTCCAGATGTTTGGGTGTTCACTCAAATGATCCAATGTGAGTACTGAACTTTAACCTTTATTCCCCACCTGACTCCCACTCAATTTCTAGCTTTTTTGAATGCTGGGATGGGGAAATGGTGGTGGTAGTGGCCAGGAACAGAATGTGGCATTGGTGCATTGTTGACCCTCAACTTATCCACAGATCATATCAAAATCCATGGCATTGGCCACAAAACCAGCTCTCAAATTATATGTGAGGTTGATTTATACATAAGTACTCACTGGTAAGAGGAAGAAACCCTTGTTTCTTGCTCAATCTACTCAAAACATTAATTTAAAACAAAACTGGGTTTCTGCCAGTGCATTCACACATGCCTTCTGTCATCTAGATCCATATAGTGAAAGACATCCATTCCTTAACCAGCCTTGAAATTCATTTGCTCCCATAAACTGAAGGAGAGGAAGGAGACTCTTTTATGTTTCCCTTTCTTCCACTGTTATGCGGAAAGAGAGTCATAGGTCCCATCTACACTGCCATATAATAAAGTTTCATAATGCGGTTTAACTGCATTGAACTGCATTGTATGAATCTACATTGGCATATAATGTAGTTCAATGTAGTTAAACTGCATTATGAATCTATATTATATGGCAGTGTAGATAGGGCCATAAAGCTCCACCTGCAGTCCAGGGCAGATTTGTTTTTATTCTTGTTTGCAGCTAAGGCAGTGGCTAAAGCAAGGAGAAGCTAGTTGCAATGCAATCCTGCCCACATAATATTTTTGCTGGGGGGGGGGATTTGCATGTTTCTTGCAACAGAACAAACACATTAACTTGTGGCATCTTAAAGACCAGAAAGTATTATTTGGCACAAACTTCTGTGTACTCCAGCATCTGGTATCTGAGAAATAACTTTAGTGCACAAGTCTTTAAGTCACCAGAAGAGCCTGTTGTTTATTACAAATATATCTACTCAAAAGGAAATCTCATTGAATTCTATGGGGTGTATTCTCAAGTAGGCAAGCCTAGGATCACAGTCTTGGACTTTGTTTGAATTCGTATTCTTATCACTTTGCTTTTCCCCATTTAGCCCTTATTAACCTCATTCAGATGTTGTTCATACCTTGTTTCCTATCCTATGACTTCAGGCATGGGTTTTCATTTTCCTGTTTGCTGAATTTGCATAGTCATACTCATGTAAGTCCCAATAAATTGAGTTCAATGGACCAGAAGAAGTTGACTCAGAAAAAGGGGGAGTGATTAATACTGGATTGTGAAATAAGATAAATTCATTGTCAGGATAGATATTATTATTATTATTATTATTATTATTATTATTATTATTAGAATCATGATGACTGGATGCACTGTTGGAAGAGAGGTCTTGGTAAAAGCTAAGGAGTGATAGCTAAGAAGGGTACTTATTTTTTCTAGGATTTATGCATTCCAGTAGGGCAAGATAAGTTCAGTGGAGAATAAAGGAAGGAAGTTTCCTTATACAACACAAAATAAATTTATGAAGAATTAAACTCGTCCAGTACAACATTAATGTAAGAAGTTCACCATTACAAGATGAGATTATTACATTTGCCTTAAATTGTCTTAAAGGTAAGCAAGACAACTGCATGAAAAATCATAAGGCTTTCAATGGTCTTTAACCTAGCAGCTGAATAGTAGTACAGTATTTCTTTGGCACCCCCGGTGACACAATGGGTTAAACCCTTGTGATAGCAGGACTGCAGACTGAAAGGTCGGCGGTTTGAACCCAGGGAGCAGGGTGAGCTCCTGTCTGTCAGCTCCAGCTTCTAATGCAGGGACATGAGAGAAGCCTACCATAGGATGGTAAAACATCTGGCCGTCCCCTGGGCAATGTCCTCACAGACAGCCAATTATCTCACACCAGAAGTGACTTGCAATTTCTCCAGTTGCCCCTGACACTAAAAAATAGATATATTCACCAGAGGGACAAGAATGGGAGCAGCTGTGACTTGTATTTCCTGCTGGATGGATGGCCACAGTAAGAAAAAAGAATGCTAGACTGAACAGATCCTTGGTCTCATCCAAGAAACCTTCTGTCCTTTATGTGGCCTTCCAAGTTGTTGGATGCTGGATGGCTATCTGTCAGAAGTGGTTTGATTGTGTATTTTCACATGGCAGGAGTTGGACAGGATGATCCTTCCATCTCTGTAGTTCTGTGATTCTATAAATGAGAACTAAAACGGGTAGGCCAGGCAGTATCATGAAATACAGTCAAGTATACTTAGAAAGCATCTACAATCATTCCTCCACATTTGCGGTCTAGCTTTTGCGGATCTGATTGCAGATTTGATTAATAATGGCCTCTCTAAAGATCTTCAACAAAACATCCCTCCAGGATCTATGGGCCCTCCAAAACCACTCTATGGTCAACTTTCAGCAGCTTTCTAGATAAACACTCTCTTGGGTTAAAAAAAGATTGACGATTTTACCACTTGAGCAGAGATGCACCCCTAACCCCAGTGAATGTGGAGTGCTGACTGTAATTAAAGTTACAAAGAAGACATTTGGCTGTCAGAGGCAAAGGACAAGTTATTCCACCTTCCATTCCATATGCAATATTACACTGGAAGTCAAACTTTCGTTTGGCAGTGACAAAGGGATTCAGTAGAACAATGACCAAATGGAGGAGATGCTTTTGTGGCATGCCAAACTCTATTTCCCAAAAGAGAGGAACACCTCCAACATTACTGGCTGAAGCAGTTGGCTCACTCAGCCTAACAGTATAGGTGACACTGAGCTTATATGTGTTGGGACAGCACCTCTCTGATTTTTGAGTATGTGGTAGAGCTTGCCGGCCCCATCTCGCTTTGTTTATGAGCTTCAAGTGGCTGTCATTGCTGATGGGCTAGAAAGACCTTTTGCTTAACAAAGGAAGGTCTTGGTTTCAACATATTTGATTTTAGCACAATATACCACAAATAGGTATGCTATGGAATAATGTGAGTTGTAGTTCAATGGGGTACCAGCACTCTGACAGAAGGCTAAACACCTGGTAAGATTACAATTCCCATGATTCAATAGCATTGAGCAATGGCAGTTAAAGTGGTTTCAAGCTGCATTAATTCTACAGTTTAGCAGCATCCTCGATTATTTTTATTTCAATAGGTATTTACAGTATATTATAAGGAGAGGCAACATTTTAAAACACATAACAAAGAGAGTATATCTTATATATCTACATTTGGGACTTTATCAGGCAGGGGGGAAAGCAGGGGACAGTGGGTGAAATTGTGGAGTAGCCGAGAGAACTATCAAGTTCTGTTCCCTCCTGTCAGGATCCATGGTCTTTCTATCCTCCTCTGGGCTATGCCGTCATAATGCTGCTGCCACAGATCTCCACAGAGTCCCACAAAAAGTAGCCCTGCGTCATGTGATGGGCTCTGTGGGATTCCAGCAGCAGAGAGAAGTGGAGAGAAGACAGTCCTCTCCCTGCATATGATAAGGTCATTAGTGTATATTTTATAGGGCTACACAACTTCACATCTAAGCTGCATGAATAGTAATAGTTGGCTATTGTTGTTGCATGCCTTCAAGTCGAATCTATAGTAAGTCAAACCTATCAGAATGTTTTCCTGGCCCCATTTGTTCATATGTTATGGCTTCCATCTGAGGCTGAGAGAGTGTAACTTGCCCAAGGTCACTCTGGGTAGTAGAAGTACTTCTTAAACATCATAAAAACATATCTAAAATATGGCATTATTAGTTGCAGTAGTGGTGGTGATATTTATGTCCTGCTTCCTCTCTCCCAAAGAAGATTCAAAACAGCTAACACTAAAAATCATACGATATATTAATGTCCAAAAAATACAAACATTAAAATAGAATTAAACACAGGCCTTATTTTAAAATCCATAGTTAAAACTAATAAAACCATTTAAAAAACCTGTTATACTACATAAAACACAGCACCCTTAGCTTGATCTTTAAAAAAAAAGAGTAAGTCTGCCTGAAAAGAAAGCTCTTAGCTTGCTGTCAGAAGGACAGCAGCAAAGGTGTCATCCTGGCTTCCCTAACCAGGGAGTTCCAGAATTGAAGGGCAGCCACTGGGAAGACCCTCTCTTGCGTCCCCACCAACCAAGTTTGCGATGCAGATGAAACTGAGAGAAGAACCGCATCTGAACTTTGTTTTTCCCAGCTGTAAAGTGATTCTTTTTTCTGTTATTAATATGTAATAATAAACTACACTTTTTAAAACTTACAATTTTTATCATTTTGAATTTACATTTTGGGAGAAAAAGTAGGAGATAAAAGGAGATGATAATGGTGGTGGTGGGGGGTGGGGTGGTAGTTTTTTTGCTCTCTATACTTCTAATCATAGAAGGAATAGATTAGCTCATTGGGTAAGGTCTGCTTGGAACTGTTATCCTCTGACCCTCATTTGGTCCTGATCTTTTCTCTGCCCTTCATTTTCCTAGGCAGCACCTGACCCAAAGACTTCTACCAGCAACACTGGATGAGAATTCTACCATTGACTAGAGCTCACTAACCTCACCGGCAATATGGATTTCGTAATGAAGCAAGCCCTAGGCGGTAAGTGTTACCTCCCTTATCACAAAGGCCTGTTTGAAAGCCATTCCACCGTGCCTTTATTATTGATCCTCAAGAGACTCTGCTGATGGGATGATGGAGTTTAATATAGATCACTAGAGAAATTGGTCTTCCTATTGTGTTCATATCTGCCTTTTTTGGCTCTGAAATAAACATGTTTTGTAAAGTAGGAATGTTGGATTTCTTTTAAGAAAAAAAGTCAAACCTTGCCCTAGTTAGAGGCTGTGGGAAGTGTGTGAGATAAGGAGACATGGCTAGCTCCACTCAGAGGCCATGCTGATGATTTTACCTGTGGTAGCAAGGTAAAACTCTGAAGATATTTGTCATTGACCAAATATGAGCATATTTATAATAACTTTTGGAGCAAGCAATACAACCTCAAATTCTGCACAATCTTATGTCCATTTACTCAGAAGAAAATCTCACTGAGGTTCATAAAAGTTACTTCCAGATCAAGCAAAACCACTTCTGAGTATTTGCTTAAGAAAACCCTAAAAAAATTATGAGGTCACCATAGGTCAACAGGTGATGACTTGAAACACACAAATGCACATACAATGCATGGATGAACAAAGCACAGTCTCCCATATGTTGTTGAACTTCAGTTCCCATTACTTCATTTATTACACTTTGTCCAAGATGGGTGGTAGTTTCAGTCCAACAGCTTCTGGAGGGTTACGAGTTACCTGCTGCAGGTGTGTGACATTACAAATAAAATCTGTAAAATGATACATGTTAAAGCCTTACCAAATTTGATGCATGCTCTTCTTCCCTCATTCTAAACGTGTGGAAGTGAAGGTCACCCTGCTCCTACTTGAAAGTACTGTCTTCCTACATGCCATTTCACAAGCTATGGCCAGAAAGTTAAACTTCAGTGAACGTTGTATCAAATGAACATTTCCCCACCCCTGTGTTGGAATATTTGCTAGGATTTTTCTTAAATCTGTTTGATTTCTAATTACAAACTGGACATACCTAGCAATCACCTTTGGTCCAAATTCCACTTGAATTTTGAGCCCTCAGTAAATCTAACAAAAAAAATTCTGCTATTTCCCTCCACCTCTTGTCTGTGATACCATGAATCCATTCCAGGGCCCCTTCCACACAGCTGTATAAAAAAATCCCACTTTATCTGAACTAGATTATATGACAGTGTGGACTCAGATAACCCAGTTCAAAGCAGATATTGTGGATTATCTGCCTTGATATTCTGGTTTATATGGCTGTGTTGAAGGGCCCCAGGTTTTAACTAGCTTTAAAGGAGCTGTCCAGGGTGCTGAATCTGGTAAGGACTCAAGTAGAGCACTTGAAAGAGCTCCTTTAAAGCCTGGGTCAAAATGGCAGTTTCCCTCAGGCATCAAACCTGTGTGCAAACAAGTTAAAGTAAAACCAATTAAGCATTACAAGAAAAGTAAAATTAAGGTAGATCACATGTTTGAAGTTGTGCATGTACATGTTGCAGGTCCATTGGAGAAAAGCCAAGGAGGGTCACAGTTTGTGTTATTGTTAGTGGAAAAAATGACCAAGTTTGGGTACATTTATTTCCTGCAAGATGAAAGTGAAGTACCAACAAAAATCTCTAGTTGGTTAAATATGGTGCAGGCTGTGTATGATACACAAGTGGAAACTATGATTTTTGACAAAGATGTAGACATTTTGACCAGTGAAGTGAAAGGGATTCTAGATGTGAGAGACATCAAGTACACCCATATTGATACGTACAAACCTGTTGAAGATAGCGTTGCTTTAAAGAGAATGGAAGTTTTGAATCAGATGAAAGATTGCATGCTTTTAGATAGCCAATGTTCTAAGAATTTGTGGGCTGAAGCATTACACACGAGTAACTATGTGACCAACAGGATGTGGGATGAGAGCAGCAATGAGATTCCATTTAGAAAAATGTACAAAAGGATGCCAAATTATAAGTATTTGAATTTATTTTTTATTTTTAAATTTATTTTTTGAATTTATTTTTTAAAATGTTTTTGGTTATTTCTTCACAAGCTAATAGGGTCCAAGTGCCCATGCATTTAGTTTTGAATTTATATTTCAAAACAGAGAGGGAAAAATTACTGTTTGCCATACACCTTTCCTCCACCTCCCACTCCATCACATATTTCCAGGGCACTACCATTATCCAGAGCTATTTTACCATAGTGTGCATTCACTCCCGCATAATGGACTATGTGCAGAATATTTCCCATTTTTTCTCCCAACTTCTGCTAGCAATCCATTGCCACTGCCGCCAATGTCTCTGTTTAAAGAACTTTTGGATGGTTTGAGTGTTGATGAGTCAGAGAAGCAAAGGAGGAGGATTTTGTTGAGAAAGATGAAAGACTCTGAAGTTTCCAGCTACCCTAGGGAACCAAAAGTGGTTTGTAACTCTAAATTGTTGACAGAGAAAGGTGGGAAATGGCTATCAACTGCAGAACTCAGCAGACATGCCTGTCATGAATGAGTTTTCAATAACTTTGAAGCACAGGTTCTTTTTATTGCAATTTCCAGTGTGAGAAGGTATATCAGATTACAGAAAACATTTAGACAAAGAATGATATTGGTCATACAGATTCTATGCAACTACATTGGATTTACAATTACATTGGTTAACAAACAAACAAAGGGGAACTACATTTTCACTCAACATTCACACACATGTACACACATTCATCCACATGCATCCAAATATTACCATATCATTTCTCCCTCCTTGGAGAAGCACCTGTTAGGCCAGACCCTGGTTTCCTGCAGCCTGCCAATGTATCGTTCCAAAACTTCCATAACGCCAAAACTTCAAAATGCCAAAATGCCAAAACTTCTTTCCCTAAGAACCGTGCCAAGGACCAGATCTCTGTTTTCCATATAGCAGAACCTGACTCCCTGCACAAAATCAAATACTCCAAAAGCGCACTTCTTCCTCTTCCCTTGAGAAAGAAGCTCCAAAGTGACCAGACTGCTCCTGTGCAAATCTGCCACTCTCCGAATACAACATCTCTCTCCTTCCCATGGAGCAGAGCATGGCAGGTGGAACAGACTCCTCGGTCTGCCACAATTTGAGCATTATTAGACTGAGTCTTTTATAGGAATATTCTGTTGATGTAGTCCCAAAGTTGTAAATTAATGATAGAGCCGCCGCAAACTAGCCTCCTGCGGGAGCAAACTGTGCCAGCATGTCCATGACGTCATGAGACTCCGCCTCTCTCTCCGCCCCTTTCTCTGCCTCTTTCTCCGTGCCAGAGTGGTTTTTCCTTTGCTAGGGCAGCATTGCCAGCGTACTCTCGTTGTTGAATTCTGTCAGCACAGTTTGCTCCCGCAGGAGGCTAGTTTGCGGCGGCTCATAGACGTCTTCCATCCTGGATCCATTCCAGTTTCCTGGCCAGATGTTGATCTTCTTGATTGATGTTGACAAACACAAGGCTTGTGTTGACTTCCTTCTTAACATAAGGAATGTTGCAAACATTTCCATTATCACTGTCCCATTTCTTATCACAACTTCTCATTAGCAAGTCCAGCAAGCAGGTAATTAATCATTGCAGGCCTTAATATTATACTGGTGTCTCCAAAATTATTAACTCCATCCATACATTCATCTTCCATTCTTCCATTCATTCCCACACATCATATTAAATTCATATTTGTCAAATCTGCACATTGAATTTCTTATTACATGCCAAGTGCCCAAACACTGGGGAATAGGGAAAGTAGCTCCTCCCCATGGTAAAGAAAGGAAATGGCATGTGAATTGTGGTAGAGAACTCATATAGAATGAATCCCCAAAAGCAAATACAAACATGCATAGTAAGATCCAACATCCAATGCACATAATACATATCAAAGCATCTTATGGGGGGGGGGGATAGAAAATAAACATGTTGGGGCTCAGGTTCTTGACATGCTTGAGACATGACTGACAATAAAGGACATGTCTTCCTTGACAACCAACTTTTTATTCTCTTTTTAAAATCTGCTGTTTATTCAGTTTTTAGATAGCTGAGAGACTTTCATATTAAGACAAGAAATTACACTAGAACAGGAAAAATATTAATTTCCTTTTTAAAAATTGGAGCAGATGAGAGAAGCACCAAGTCAGGTACACTGCTCAATTGTAGATATCCTTTAATACCATGAGTTCCTTTTTCTATTCTTTTCTTTTAATGCAGTTCTTGACTTTCCTCCCATTCTCAAGGTTCTTAATACACAAAGCCAGCCAAGATATTTTGGCACATGAGGTAGTCCACTACACAAGCACTTCTCCCCTTCCTTAGAAGCAAAAAAAATGCAATAGTATTCCCTCTGGAGATGGAGTCAAAATCCAGTTGTCAGGAATGAATTAAGCCACATGAAGGGCTTTCTCTGGGTGGGGTCTCACATGTGGCATGGCCTCTCCACTGGAATGAGGCAGGCTTCCATGTGAGTTATTCTCACTTACAGTTAAAGACATATCTACTACCTTTTCATTTTAGTGCATTGTTTGTTTTCTTTGCCACAAACAGCTTTGACATTTTAAAAAGCAGTATAGAAATTCTATAAACAAATGAAGAATATTTGGCTACCCTGAGGCGGCTGCCTCATTCTTTCTACCTGTAGAGCCAGCCCCAGCATTACTAGAACTATTATCTTTACATCAATGCAATCTTCTTGCCTTTACATACAAAGAGGTTGTTTGTGGGGCACTATGTTTTATGTTGCATTGTTATACAATGACAGAGCTTGACGGGGAACACTACAGAAACAGAAAAAAATTAAAAGTTTTTCTCTCTCTCATTATTTCAGAACTCTCTTAATACAGGCTGTGGTCATTATCTCAAAACTCCCTCTAGAGGTTTACCAGAGAAATTTACTAATAACTTCTGTGTGTGTGTGTGTGTCTGTGTAAAATACCATCTATGCACCAGATCCCATCTGATATTGGAATCTGGGTGGGGTTTGCATTGGTTATTACTTGAATGGGAGGCCTCCAATGAATAACAGGTGCTGTAGGCCAGGGCTTCGTAAGCTTTTTGAACTCACAAACCCTTTCCCCTGAGAAGTTTTTATGTGACACCGGGTATATGCATACATAAAATAGGTATATAAAACAAACTTTAAAAAAATATTGGATAGTTAAACCTGTGGATACTGAGGGCCAACTATTCCACAACAATAAAAATCGGACTGACTGGACTTTATTCAAAGACTATCTAAAGCAAGAAAAAAATGTTGTAGGTTATATTTTCAAAGGAGGAGCTAGAAGAACCACCTCTGAATATCCCTCGCCTAAGGAAACCCTGTGAAATTTGTAGGGTCACTATGAGTTCATAGGCAACTGTAAGGCACATTCACGCATATTCAGCTTCAAGTCACTTGTTGACTTAGGTCAACCTTAGCATTTCATAAAAGTTTTCTTAGATAAGGAATATTCAGGGCTGGTTTGCCCTTGCTTTTCTCTAAAATGCAGCCTCTGGCACCTGGTATTCCATAACAGTCCTTCAACCTAGTACTTAGATGACCAGGGACTGCTTATTTTCAAGTTCATATGGGATCTCTTACCTTTAGGCTTGGTAACTATTCATTTAGTCAACCTCTATTCAAGAGCTGATCCTAGCATGACCTTTTAACAGTCTACCTCAAAAGATGTGCACAACTATGACTTCAAGTTATTTCCAACTTATGTCATCTCTAAGGTGAGCCTATCACGGGTTAGCATTTGATATATCGTATACTTTGTATGTGAAGAAGGTTGAGTTAGATCTGCTGGTATATTGCAAAGTGATCTCCATTAAATCACTATGGCTTTGCAGCACACAACTTCTTAGCTAAAGGGACAACAAAATTACTGCTCCCCACTTTGCCTTTTTCCCCAAGACTGGAATTTAACATGGCTTCCAAGAAGCCAGTTCCCTGAGAGTTCCTTGGACAGCCAGAAGATCCAACCAGTCCATACTTCAGGAAATAGTTATTTATTTATTGATTGATTGATTTAAAACACTTATATTCCGCCCTTCTCACCCCGAAGGGAATTCAGAGCGGAGCACAACATATACATGGCAAACATTCAATGCCTGGGTACAATACATAAACATTAAAAACATTTATCTAAATATTAAAATACACCATTTAAAATAACACAATTTAAAACCATCCTAGCCATCTGCATCAAATCCAATTGGCCCTGTCATCTTTCCCATTGTCGCTTCATTGCCCTGTCCCGAAAGCTTGGTCCCACAGCCAAGTTTTTACCATCCTTCTAAAGGACAGGAGGGAGGGGCCGACCTGATCTCACAAGGAAGGGAGTTCCATAGCCGGGGAGCAATCACCGAGAAGGCCCTGTCTCTCGTCCCCACCAATCGCGCCTGTGACAATGGCGGGACGGAAAGCAGGGCCTCCCCGAGAAGATCCAACCAGTCCATACTTCAAGAAATAAAGCCTGACTGCTCATTGGAGGGAAGGATATTAGAGGCAAAGATGAAGTACTTTGGCCACATCATGAGAAGACAGGAAAGCTTAGAGAAGACAATGATGCTGGGGGAAATGGAAGGAAAAAGGAAGAGGGGCCAACCAAGGGCAAGATGGATGGATGGTATCCTTGAAGTGACTGGATTGACCTTGAAGGAGCTGGGGGTGGTGATGGCTGACAGGGAGCTCTGGTGTGGGAGGTCCAAGAGGTCACGAAGAGTTGGAAGCAACTGAATGAATGAACAACAAACCAAGATAAGAAGTCTAGTGGCTAAAACCACTTAATCTTTTTAATAAAAAAAAGATTAAAATACTTGATTATAGAATTAATGTCATCCAAAACTGTGATTGAAAAACACAGAATTCTAAATTAAACTGAACTTTAAAAAAAACATATTTGTTGTTCTTGCTGTCCTTCAAGTCATTTTTTTATTTATGGACGTACAGCTCAGGTCCAGATTATTTGGAAAATTATATCTCCTGGTACGAAGCTAGCCAGGCCCTGGGATTCTCAAAAGAGACTCTTTTCTCTGTCCCACCTCCAATGCAAACACCTTCTCAGTGGCTGTCCCTCAACTCTGGAACTCCCTTCTTCCCAAGGAAACCAGAATGGCCCCCTTCCGTGCTGTCAATCTGGCAGCAGATTACTTCTATTTAAGCAAGCTTTTAAAGAAGAAAGTTAGAATCAGACTGGAACTGCAATAAGTGGTTGTATACTTCCTATAACAAGCCTCTGCAAGCAATCTGGCTGCAAGCCTTTCTAACAGTGAAAGCTTCCAGACACTTAGTTTTTGCAGACTTCCTGCAAAACAATATTAATTAATATGGCATACCCAGCTCAGCTCTTGGGAAGCCAAGCCTTCCTATTGTGAGGGGAGAAGTGTAGGCATGTGCAGCCCAAGAGCAAAGTTGGGAGCAGAGTAAGGGGGGAGGGAGGACAGCAAGCTATATGGGGAAGCTTTTGACTCTCACTGCTTTCTTCTATGTCACATGCAGGGGCTACCAAGGACATGGGTAAAATGTTGGGAGGCGAAGAGGAGAAGGACCCTGATGCCCAGAAGAAGGAGGAAGAGCGGCAAGAAGCTCTGCGTCAACAAGAGGAAGAGCGCAAAGCAAAGCATGCCCGCATGGAGGCAGAACGGGAAAAGGTCCGACAGCAGATCCGGGATAAGGTCCGTAACATTCTCTGCTGACTTCCCTGGAATCACTGTAGAGTAGGGCTGCTCAATCTGCCGCATGCTAAGGCCTCTCAGTGGGTCACTTCCAGAGTCCCTCATCCCCTGTGCTGCTGCCATGCCTGCCTTGCACCCCAGATTTCCTGGGGCTTGCTTTCCCCCTACGGCAGCAGACAACAAGGAAGGGCCAGCTCTATAGAGCTCTCCATGTGGAGGAAACACAGAACTGCCTTGTCACTCTGTAGATTGGTTGAGTGATGATAGGCACAGGTCTACTTGAAAAGGCTAGTTGATTGGCACAGGGCTAGGTAGGCGGTAGTTAGATAGGCATGTAGGCAGGCAACAGACGACATTGCTTTTTTTCACTCAAACTCCACCAGTGGCCCTTGCATTCAGCAAACCTCCTATACTTAGCTCAGGTTTGTTGTTGTTTTCTTTGTAATTAAGTTACTCCATTTCATTCTTTTTTCTTTTTTTCTAATCCTAACTGTTGCTCTGTTTCTACCGGAAGAGAAGGGAGAAGACAAATTATGGGAGGTAAAGTGGAGACTGGCATCTGTCTTCTGATGAGAGCCAGTGGGCCAAGTGCACTTATATTTAGAGCTTGGTACAGCCCCCCCCCCCCCACACACACACACACACACACACTCTCCAACCATACTGTTAACTTTTCCAAGCTCTGACTTAATTTTTGGGTGGATAAGAAATGGCCTAGCAGCAAAGCAAAATGTCAAATATCTACAGCAATATGACTACAATGGAGGTCAAAATTTGAATATTGACCCTCCCAAATAAGAATCCTGCATCATTTTCATAAATATGTATTTATTACGCAAATTTGTGTCATTACAAAGAGTAAGATACCAAAATCTCTTCACCTAGACCCTACTTAGTTTCTGTGTTCTCCTTTCCTTGGTCATTGCGATTGTCCTGCTGTTATTTTTAGATTCTAAAATTGTCCTAAATCTTCAGCTAAAGTTTTTATTTATTTATTACTATGTAGACATTTGGGTGCTGAAGGAAAATGTTATGGGGGGAGCAGTCATTCTTCCCAGTCTACCCCACCTCATAGCTAAAAGTCTCTGTGTTAGTGGACATAACTCTGAACAGACTCTGCTGAAAAACAGAGTGGTAGGTAGGAAATATTATATTTATACACAAGAATGTATATCTCCTATGATTCTGTAGGGTTAGGTTAATATGCAGTGTAACTTAATGAAGGACATAGGCCAAGATCTTTCACAATTGTTGTGGTTGTTGTTGTGGTTGTTGTTGTTGTTGTTGTTGTTGTTGTGTCTTCATTTCCCAATTATGGCAATCTGTTTCATGGTTTTCTGGGGCAAAGAGTGTTTAACTCACCTCAGATCACACAATGGTTTCCATAGCTAAGCAAGAAAACAAATCCTGGCCTCCAGAGTTGTCATCCCAATGCTCAAACCACTACATCATGCTGGCTAAGAAACACAATTTAAAGATCAAGTAAATACGCACCAGCATAAGCAGGCTGAACCCATTGTCTCACAGTCAATCATACAGTGAGAGGGAATGCCCTAAATCCACCTATTACATGCCAGTCAATTACATTTGAAGTCCAATTAGTCGAAAAGCAAAAGAAGGGAGGGTTACATGTGTGATCATATAATTTGGCTGTGCTAAAGACTAGCTTCACACATCTAAGAAAATATACAACCCTCCACATTTGCAGTTTTGATTTTTCATGGATTTGATTACAAATTTTCTCTCTAGGAATCTCTAGGTCCTTCAATGGGATTCTCTGGTCAGCTTCCAACAGATGTTGAACATAGAGCTGTGCTGATTCACATTTTTCATTTTCATGAGTTTCCTGTGCAATATGGAGGGTTGAGTGTACAACTAAGCTATTTATATACTAGGATAAATATTTTTATACTAGTATAGTACTGTATTAATCAGCCTCAAATCTCTGGAGATTAGCTAAACATAAGTACATACATCAGTGCCTACAGTGGTAACCATCTCCATTGTTGATCTATATATTCAATTTCTGCTCTTTACAATTACAGAACACAGGCTAATAAAAAAAACTCAAAATGAGTTTAAAAGAAGACAGGAAAACTTTGGAGGTGTGGGGATTTTTGCATTCTTTTCAGGCTATATTTCAGAAGAAGGAAGTGGCAAAACCACCTGTGAGTATTCATTACCCAAGAAAGCCCTATGAAATTAATGGGGTCACCATTCATCAACAAGCAACTTGAATGCACATAAGCACACAAACCAATGGTGCTTTTCTCAGTCCTTCGGTGCAGGCTCCATCTGCTCCTCTTTTATCCACCTGTTCCAAGGTGCTGGAGTCCTGTTGCTCTCATGCAGGTGGTGACCTTGCGAAAGGACATGCTGACAATGGCTATTATGGGACTAATTGTAGAGCTCTCCCCGCATCCCAGCAGAAGGGAACCCTCAGTTCCACTTTGTGCCTCTCACTTGTGCCAGCTCCTCGCTGGGCCCCCACCCAGACAACAGTCCAGCACCCTGAGGATTAATTGGTCAAGGCTCATACATCACTTGAGTGCTGAGAAGCTTGAAATGCCTCCACAGAGCCCTGAGGCAGTTCTGCCAGGAAAGGAAGCATCAAGTATTTCAGCACAGGCAACTGAGTGCTCAGCCAGGAGCAAATCGGCCAGTCTGAAAAACATGGCTTAAGCAATGCAGATGGAAATGTTTGGGTGGAAAGAGGCTAGCAGGGCATCGAGGTGACAGGAATCAATCCATGTGAGGAAGGGGTGCACTAGCTATTCACAAAAAAGAATCTAGAGTACTGTGGCAGAGCAGCAGAAAGACAGCCTTCAGTGACTCTGGCCCCTTCTACCCTGCCATATAATTCAGATGATCAAAGCAGATAATCCAGATTATCTGCTTTGAACTGAGTTATATAACTCTACACTGACAGATAAACAGTTCAAAGCAAATAATTTGGATTTTATATGGCAGTGCAGAAGGGGCCTCTGTCTGTTTTATTTCATCCCATATGACCTGGTGGTGAACCTCATATGACTAGGTGCTGAATGCTGTACTAAGAAGATCATCCACCTCATCCATGAGACTCTTCTTATGCTCTTGTGTGGCTTTGTGCCTTGAAGTTGCCTGTCATCTTATGGTGACCCTATGAATGTCATACTTTTTTCTTAGGCAAGGAAAACACAGAGGTGGTTTTGCTAGTTTCTTCCACTGAAATACAGCCTATAGCAGGGGTCCTCAAACTTTTTAAACCGGGGGCCAGTTTACTGTCCCTCAGACCAATGGAGGGCAGGACTATAGCTTTTTAAAAAACAAAAATCAATTAAAAATTCCTCTGCACATTGCACATATCTTATTTTGCTGTGTGGAAGGGCCCTTAGAGGGGTTTCTTTCTAGCCCTCTTTAGGCAGTAATTCCAGGAGCAGAGAATGGGAAATCTTCCTATTTCTACTCTGAACAAAATCTGGCTACCAGTATTTAAAAAACTCTAAAATTATAACTGTAAATAAAGAACAACACTCAAACACAGGGGAACTCCAGACAAGAAACAATCAGGGCCAGCTAATCACCTCTCAACAAAGGATTCTCCCTAAAAACTGTCAGGCTATGAAATGGTAATCAAGGTGGCCAATTGAAACATTCATACCTACCTCCAACAGACAAGAGTTCTTTCTCCCACCCTGGATCTTCCACAATTTTCCTGGTTAAAGGTTTTCCTCTGACATGAAGTCCAGTCGTGTCTGACTCTGTGGTGCTCATCTACATTTCTAAGTCGAAGAGCCGGCGTTGTCCATAGACACCTCCAAGGTCATGTGGCCAGCATGACTGCATGTAGCGCCGGGGCAGCCTCCCTTGGCTGGCTCACGCTGTCCATCAGGCCTGACGGATAGCGTGAGCCTGCCAAGGGGGAGCAGGCCCGCGCGGCCTACTTGCAAGTAGACCATGCGGAGCAGCCTCCCTTGGCTGGCTCACACGGCCTACTTGTGAGTAAAGCACCTCGCGAGGTGCTTTACTCGCGAGTAGACCACGCGGAGCAGCCTCCCTTGGCTGGCTCACGCTGTCCATCAGGCCTGATGGATAGCATGAGCCTGCCAAGGGAGGAGCAGGCCCGCGCGGCCTACTTGCGAGTAGACCACGTGGAGCAGCCTCCCTTGGCTGGCTCACACTGTCCATTGGGCGTCAGGCCCGATGGATAGCGTGAGCCTGCCAAGGGGGGAGCAGGCCCGCGCGGCCTACTTGTGAGTAAAGCACTTCACGAGGTGCTTTACTCGCAAGTAGACCATGCGGAGCAGCCTCCCTTGGCTGGCTCACGCTGTCCATCGGGCCCCATAGACAGCGTGAGCCAGCCAACGGAGGGGCACTGTGTGGGGGGGGGCGCTCCTCCTCTGCGGGCCGGATCGGGGCCCTTGGCGGGCCGGAAGTGGCCCGCGGGCCGTAGTTTGGGGACCCCTGGCCTATAGTCTCCCATCTAATAATTAACTAGACCTGCTTACTTTCCAAGATCAGGTGGGATCTAGTACCTTTGGGGTATCTGAAATCTTAAAGATGGGATCCCAAGGTTTTTGGAAGAGAGGAGCCCAGGGCACAAAAATGCATGCCTGCTACAAAATTGGTATCAGTGGGGAGAAGTGGGGAGGCATCATTCTGGAGGTGTTACTTCTCCTACCCACCCACACCTTACCAAGCACGCCTGCGCCCCTTCCACCATCCTTACAGCTGAAATTGGATGTCTGAGAGGTCTTGTGTTTGTTATCTGCCATCTTTAATATCCTTCTGCAGAGGAAAATAGCACAGCAAACACTGCCTCTGATCAACCCACAATGTTCTCTGGTGGAGGCAGATGGGAACAGGAGATTTTACAGCTAGGGCAAAAAAAGAGCACCTGGAATAAAGTTAATTTTCTCATCCCTTCAGCAGGACCAACAAAAAAGGGAAGGGGACTCACATACACACATTCATATCCTTCACCACATACAAAGAGAGAGTTAACCATTGTGTTAAAGCGACATGGGACAGATAGGGTCTTACAATTAGGCAGAATGAGATGATTTTCTTAGGCTGGGTGGTGTGGAGGGTGGAGCCAATGGACTTCAATTGTTAGAACATTGAGCTAGGATTGGGAACACATAGATCTGAATATCCACTTTGCATAAGTTCAAAACAATCTCTCTCTCACACACACACACATGCACACACACATGCACACACAGTCCTCAAGCTAATTGAGCTCATAGGATTGTTGTGAATAAGACCTATGGACACTGACTTGTGCAAATCACCTGGAGGAAAGGCAAGTTGTAGTTGACAGCTACAATGTGCAGTAGACCCAATTATTACAAAAGCTCATTGAACACAATTTCATATACATTCAGAAAGCTTTAAATATCATAAGATCACTCTGGAGAACCTAGAACCACAGAAGATCCTCCCTGATTGGCGTGTCTGTCTCTAACTCTTCCACCTTGTGTCTGTCTCCTCTCTGCAGTATGGCCTGAAGAAAAAAGAGGAGAAAGAGGCAGAGGAGAAAGCAGCCCTGGAGCAGCCGTGTGAAGGGAGCCTGACGCGCCCCAAGAAAGCCATCCCAGCAGGCTGCGGGGATGATGAAGACGAAGACGAGGAGAGCATCCTCGATACGGTGCTCAAGTACCTGCCCGGTCCACTGCAGGACATGTTCAAGAAGTAACAGTTATGCCCACAGCCCCACTCACCCTCCATGCCCTAGCAACTGCCAACTCAGCACTTGGGCTGGGGCTTAGGATGGGGAAGGGGGATTTTTCATTTCCTTTTTTAAGAAAATCATTTGGTCTTTTTTTTTTCTCCTTTAGGTTCTGTTCTAGGGGAGACCCAGTGACCTGCACACATGCACACACACACAAACATATCCTTGTGTCCACAGGACCCTTACACAACCAACCCCGCTCTCCCCTTGTCCCCAGGAGAAAGAAGCACACCAGGCACAAATCATGCACCTCATTTTTGCATCTCCTCTTCCCACCAGTCCTCCAAACAACCCATCAGACCAAAAAGATACCCACTCACACCTCCTGTGCTCCCTAGAGCCACAAGCTGGGCACTGCCGGGAGCCTGCCTCCCCCACCCTACACACACACACACACACACACACATACACACCTTCCTCCATGTCCTTTTCCTGAGTGAAGCTGGAGTTCTCTTGTGCCAAAGTGCCAGCAGGATATATGGGGTCTTTTTTCTTTAAAGACAAAAAACAGGGAATGGAATAAGAAACTGGGACCAAACTCACTGATGCAACCTCATGAGGTACTGGAAAAGGGACCATGGAGGAGGAGAGGCTTCAAGCTTCTATAATTGCAATGCCCTGTTGCATATTCCTAAGCTTGATGTTGACTGCCAGGGAGGGACAGTGTCCCGTTGCCCTCCATGCCACTATTCCTGCCTAATGCCTGGGGGTCAAGGGCCCACACACATTCCATTTTTGAACAAGAAAGTGACCAAAAGGTGCACCCTCCCCCGATCCTAACTTCCAAGGGCTGTTGGCATATAGGAATGTCTTGTCACATGTTGAGGAGGAGGAGTTCATTTCTGGAAGAAATCAAATTTGCACCACGAAGACCATTGCAGAGACATTCATGTGCACTAAGCATTGCGAGAGGGGGGACCCCATAATTCCTATTCTCTCCCCTATTAAGATGTAAAAAATATCTGACACACATGCATGTATACACAGTAGGACAGATCAAGGTCTCAAAGGCCTGGCTTACAGTTCAGCTTTTCCTCAGGATTGGACCAGGGTTGAGAGAAAATACCCATCTTTCAGTACCTCTTGGCTCCTTCATGAATGGAGGGAAGAAATGGAGGCTGTCTCAGCCATCTCAGTTTATTTCTCAGTTGTGGTGGTATTTTATCCCAAACTGCCCTGCAGCTGGCACAACTACAGATGACATGCTGTCTCTAGCTCATCCTCTCATTCTGACTTCTTAGCTGCTACTGCCAGAGTGGTTTATGAGACCCATGTTTCCACACTAGCTGTTTTAGATTGATGACATAGGGAAGAGGTTCAGAACTGACTTATGTTCTGAGAACAGAAAAGATTCATAATTTTGTGGGATCAAACAGTGCTTCCTGAATTGGGGAACTTCAATATTTGTGTCAAACCCAGTGAGTTAATCTCTGGTGTATATTGACCACAAAATCCTATAATATCCACCTTGGAGAAGCAAAGGCTCAGACATAAAATTTCATCTGAGCTGCTTTCTCCCATGACAATAGTATCTTATTTTCTTGAAGTATCAGTGTTTTACCAGTCTGATGAAATGCCAAGGACCTCATTTCTGTAACACACAAAAAACATGCAAGCAAAGATGGTCATGTGCTAACTTATGTGAACACCTTCCACTCTCCCACCTTATGAAGCCCAATCCTATCCCATGCTGACTTTTAGACTCCCTGTGCACACAGCCAGCACCACCTCTCCTACCCCATTTGCTGCGCTGTGGTTGCATTCATGCCCTGCCTGCTACTCTCTGGTTCTTTCTTCAGCTCCACAAAACAGAGTGACATGGAGAAGGCCTATTGCTGGTTGGCCTGTTTCTCTGCTCAATACAGCAGATCTTGGCCACCACTGAAATCCACGACAAGGGCCCAGTCTTCCATGGAGAAGTTCTATGGTTCCTATTCGTATGTGTATCTATTTAAGGAAGGAAGGCCCCAATCACTTCTCCCTGCCTCTCCCTTCTCCACCCAATCCCTGGTGCCCAGGTGCCCAAGAGATTTTGCTTTCATGTTGGGATTGAATCTGAATTTGGGAGACCCCCCCCCCCCCCCACATCCAGTGTCCACGCAGCCTTCCAGCCTTCCTTCCTTTCTTCCTTCCCTCCCTAATAGTTAAAGCCATATCAGTTAGACTGCAATACTATCAACACTAAAAAAAACCATGGCAGGCTGTGAGCTCTAATCTCATACATATGAGTGTCCGAAGGGGTGGGGGACCTCCCCCAACCATTGATGCCTGCTTGTCCATGTCTCTGGCCACCTACCATGTGGCCCTTCTGTGTTTTTGTGTCAGTGTCTCTGTAACAGGGTAAATCACCCCAGCGCCTGTCATCTGTCTTATTGTCTCTGCTAGTCACTCACTAGATGGTCACCGTATGGCCCTGTGGAGCCCAGGGTGTGAGGGAGGTAGACCGGGGGAGGGCATAGAGGAGAGCAGGCTGGAGGCGGCAATGAGCCAATGTCATTAGTCAATTTTTGTCTACACAGCATTTGCTATGGCTGCTCATTGTGTGCATGATCATCTCACATAGGGCAAAAAGTGTATGGCTGTGACTGCTGACCAGCAGAAAATGTCATGCTGGCAGGGAAACTTGGTGCCAAGGCAGGTTGCCTTTGCTTGGGTTGGCAAACGTCCATTGTCTCAACCCTCCTGGATGAATGTTGACAATTGCAATAAGTCCACTTCTTACATGGGACAAAGGGCTGATACTGAAGCCAGCATCCCACCATAGAGTGGTACTGCTGATGCTCTCAGTTTAATATTTTGCCACTACATCCCTACAGTTTGGGGAGTCCCAAAATGGGATGGTGGGAGTGTCATTAAGCGGAGTAGCCACAAAACTTCCACTTTCTGGCCCATTCTATATATAAGCTAAAACTGAAAAGGACCTCAACTTGGAGGAACTTCAGCTGGCATGGTCTAGAAATGGATAAAACATAGCTTGGCCCCTTGACAGACCCAGTGGGGCCATCCTCCTATTTCCTTTGCAAAGTGGGAGCCGCAGTCTGCTGAGCTTTGATCCCCAATTACATGCTGATGAAAAGCCCTGAGCCCCAAGAGGCATGTCTGCATCATAGCTCATCACCACAGCAGCATCACCCTCTTGGAGAAATTGTGGTGGTGAAGAGGAGCCATTTGAGGACCCAGGCTTCTGGTGTACCCTTGTGGTTTTGAGAGGTGCTGTGCAAAAGCATCTCCCAAATCATACAGAGAGCTGGGGAATAATCCCCTTACGTACGCGTAGTGCTTCAAAACCACTGTTAACTAGCAAAAAGGAAGCCGCTTCCAGTCTGAAGCACACGTAAACTTCAGTGTGTTTGAATGTGTCTGTGAGAGAAGAGTGTGTGTGAGAGAGATCCATGATGTAGTTATTTCCAGTTTACCAAATGATTTTTAAAAAGCAAGCATTTCAAGGGCCTAAAACAGCCTGGTAGGGTGAATATGGCAAATTTTCCCCCTGTAACCCTGAAGGGCCTGAGAACATTTTAAAATAAATTAAATGGGGGTGGAAGCCTTTGGTTCACAGGTTACACTCCCACTACCCCAAGTAAATTATATACATTGGAAAAATCCAGTCTTCTTCCACCATCAACTATATAAAGGATATACTATAAATCATACATCTTGCTAGATCTCTTTAATTGCTCTGAGGTCCTACACATTTGAAGACCTAGACTCGTCTTGAGAATGTGCTTGTGTGTTCTCTAGACATACCTGTGATGGTGTATGAAAATACACAGATCCACAGCAGTGCCCATTAGCATTAGTTCAAGCATAAATGTGAAGTGTGTGGTTCTGTATGCATGTGTCATGTGTGTGTGTCTGAGACAGTGGAGGGATATTCACTGTTTCCTTATGAGCAGGTGCATTAACTATCTGAGTATGTGGACATGTGAAGACGCAGACAAAGTTGGTGGTGTTAATGTGACGTGCCAGTACACCCGCTAAGGGGTGAGAATGCATGCATTGGCATAAAATGGTGGAATTGCTTGAGTTTCTCTATTTGCCAATGTGTCCACTGTGTCTGCACTCCATTTGTTTTCACTTTGCTTCCCCAGCAGGACATCCAGCAGGGGCTCAAGCACTGGCACAGAGGAACTTATTTCACCCTCTGAAGGTATTCCCATCCCCTTCTCAAGCTGGTCAGTAACCTTGCCAGGGGACCCTGCATAGTTCCCACATGCATGGATTTCTCTTTGTCAGCTTGTCTATCACTAATTTGTAGAGGAGCAAGGGAACCAACTGCCCCATTCAGTAAGCTACTTGACTGTGTGAACCATCCTGCCTTGCTCATGCCATTTGCTTTCTATAGTCGTCGTGTCTACCAAGCAAGTCTTCATCCCACTGCACTTGAGAAGAGCGTCTATCACTGCGATGGGGCAGAGTGTGCTAAAGGGGATCCCCCAGGGAAAGTGGCAGTGCTGACAAAGTGTCTTCTAGGCTCTTCCACCTCCTACCAAGGGGGCTGAATCACCAAGTGGTGGACTTGGAACCATGGCTCCAGAACGCACCACTCTTCAGTGGTGGCCCAGCACTCCTTGGTCTTTGATTTGACCTGGGACCAAGCAGGTTAAATGTACAATGGCAGTTCCCTTTTACCTGCCTGTGTGAGGTGGAGGATACAGGTAAAGGGGGCAAGGAAGATTCGAGGGGCTCCATCTATCCACCCTATGGTGACCATCCTGCTCTAACTAGTCTTTGAAGAAATAATGAAATAAAGAACTTTGTACATTGCATGTGTCAAGTGTTTCTGTTGGCAAATTTGGGAGGAGTAAAATAATTGTTTTTTGTAGAAATGTAGGCACTATTATTTTGGATAATAGAATTAAGAATGGAGAGATGAAAGGGAAGTTGGAACTGATATTGAGGGTGATCACAAGATTTCTTGGAGAAAATTGTGGAGCTTCCTCCAAGGTCCAGAGTGGAGACCAAGGGGCTTGAGTCTGTTCCTTTGGCAGCCTCCTTAGTTGTTGTTTTGTCAAAATCAAGAGAAGGCAAACTTTTCACTAAACAGGATG